TCACCCTTCAAGAGCAGCCTTCCCTGACCACTATGTGTAAAATAGTAACAAGGTCCACCAATGTGCACTCTCTTCGTTGTATCCTCTGTTTATTGGTTTCCACAGCTCTTATTACCATCTTACAATTTACTCCTCTATTGATTACTTTCCGTCTCCACACCCCTAGAATGTAAACTGGAGCAACCAGCTTTTTGGTCTGTTTTATAATGCCCCCATGGTCCTATTTCCCAGGGGTGGAGTGTCCACTGGACGTTGCCTGTGCCCTTAGAAGAGGAAGTTCCTTTAGATTCCAGGTCTGGGCAACTTTCAAAGCTCCCCCTTAGGGACGCTCACAGGGATGGGGGTGGGGTGCTCTTTTTCCAGAGTTTTCCTACTTTGACTGCATTCCAAGGTCCTCAGAAGCCTCTTCCCAGATCCTAAAACATGGAGGAAAGGAGCTTTCTGAACACATGAATGAATAGGTATAGAAGCAGGGGAAAGGGCCACCATAGGCCAGAGTCCCCATGCTGTTTGGATACCACATTTTCAACCAAGTTTTTGATTGCAGGCTAAAGGGACCTGTCTGCTAATACGGCTAAGCAAAGATTCCTCCTAGCTGTAGCTAGCCTCTCCTCCATTTTTCTTTTTCTCCTTCCCCCCTCCTTTCACCTGCAGCCTGACACCCCCCTCCATCCATTTCACAGGAAAATAAATCTCTGGGAGGAGGCAGGGAGAGTGGATCTCAGAGAACCCTTCTGAATAAATGTCTGAATTAATGAATTATTAACTCAGCCACCCGTGACCTTAAACCTAGAAGCAAGGAGCACCCAGGGCAGAGAGGAGAGCTGCTGAATCCTTTATTGGAGTCCTGTCAAAGGCAACCTACCATTTGTTCCCCTCCCCCAACAGGAAAAAATAATTAATATGAAAGGCAAACTTTTTAATTGTATGTCAAACGAAATCAGATAGAGGGTCTCTCGGACAGAATTCCCTTCTTGTTTTCCTGCCCATTCCCGCCACTCCCTCCCCACTGGGGGCTCGGGCTGCATTCTTCCCCTCCCAGTTAAGGCTACGATGGGCTTCCTAAGGATCATTTTCGGGCGAAAAATGTTCCAGAAAATGATGAATTTGGGTAGTTAATTTATCGATCTTGACTCCTCTTCCCACTTGTTTTATTTTAGAGGTCATTAATCAATGAAGAAAAACACCACTGTGTCCCCGGTTTGCATTTAATACACTCACGCTCCTTATTTATTCCTCTGGAACAAATTCCCAGCAAATATTCACCCATCGATTTGGGAGCGATGGATTTTTATAAAGGTTTGATTGCTTCCTAAGTGGTCGAGGTGATTTGTTTCCGCTCTGAGTAACGAAGAGGAGGGGAATGAATTTAAGGGATGCATGTCTTGCGTTCTCCGGGATCACTTTCTAAAATCCCCCGGGGCGCGCGAGGGTGACGGTGACCTAGCGGACCCAGGGTTAGTTGTGTGATGGGGAAGCAACCCCCGCGGCGCGCGTAGGGCTGGGGGCCCGCCTACGCCCGGCTCTCCGCGGCGCTCGCTTGCTGGGAGGACTCCGCTGACCTCTGCCCCGGCCAGCCCCGCCGTCCTCCGGCAAGCAGCGGTGGGAGCAGCGGCCAGCCCCGCGCGGTGGGCCTGCTGGGGAGGCGCAGGGGATGTCCAGACTTCTGATACATTCCCCTGGAGACGTTTTGGTTCGCTCCCGGGCTTTCTGAGCGCTGCTTCAAACTTTTCCCTGCCTCCTTCAAGCAAGGTTCCTGTGCCATCTGGGCCCTAGAGTCCCGTCGTCTCGCGACTGACACGTGCCTGGCCCTGTGGGGCAGGGCTTGGGGGAGCTCGAATCAGACAGGTCAGGTACACCACTAGTAGGATTAGCGGGAGAGGCCCTTCGTTACCTGCGCTTCTTCCTCTGGCCCCCACAGCAGAGGAGCCAAATCTCTCTCAAGGTACCCCCAACCCAATCTGGCGTCAGTCTGGATAGAGCGGGTAGGGGCTTGACCAGAGTGGACAGGAGATGCACTTGGCATATCACTGACCAGAGTTTGGAATCCGTCTCCATTACTCATTAATGACGTGACCTTATGCAACTCACTTAACCTTTCTGAGCCTCAGTGGTCCGCATCTGTAGTATGGGAGTAATAATAATGCCTTCTCCGCACAACTGCTAGGTGGACTAAATAAAACTGAAGCGCCTACCCGCGCCTGGCGCATCATTAACGGGTCAAATCTTATTACAATGGGAATCTTCCCTCCCCTGCTTCTCAGAGTGTAGGCGGCAGAGGGCTCCGAAGCAATTGCTACAGCTAGCATCTTAAAATCTTGAGACTTTCTAGTGAGGGGAGGGCGGGAAGTAGGTAGGGATTCTTTGGGACCTGGAGTCCTGGGGACCAAGAGCTTGAGAATAGCAATCTTTGGACAGAAACAAGAAGTTGGGCGGCGGGGCTGCTGTCGCAGTGTCCGGACTTCCATCCCCAGAGCTCCCAGGGAACAGAGAAGTGTCCTGGTTTCTCAGCAATGAACCCGGGAGAGTGTGAGAGAGTTTTCTCCTTTCTTAGCCCGACAGCCACTCCTCCGCAGTTTCGTGAGCAGATTAATTGAAATGGGCCTGGAACTTCATTCTCTCCTCCTGATGGGGTTGTTCAAAGTCTGTAGAGATTGCCTGGTTGGCCTTGGGGTCCACAGAGCCGTGTAGGTTTTCCCTCGTGGTGTTTGCATTAAACGTGGTTGCTATCAATCTATCCAAGCATGACGGATTGCCTTGTCATAATGAGCCAGTCAAAACATTTTTGGTCCAACTCTGTTCCAACCAGCATCGAGGCATCCTGCGTGAAACTCGGACAAAGTCTTAGCGCGTTTCCCAGGCTCGGACAAAATGAGTGGTGGGAAAACAAAAAGAAACAAGTAGAATCAGGAAAAAATGGTTATTAATTGTTCAGAGTGGCAAGTGCTAAATAAATTGGGTTGTTCGGGGAAAGATAAATGCCATTTCTTTGAGGTATGGACAGAACTCCTGCGACGGAAAAATGCCTGAGTCCGTCAATTTTGCACACCCTGTCGGTGTCCTCTACCACCGAGTCCCACGAATGCCAGAAAGAGCTGGGGGCTAGTGCCTAATTCATGAAGGAGAGGCTGCCTACGAAGAGCGACTAGTGGGCCAAAGCCCGGGGAGAAGGCATGATGGAGGTGGGGCTGAGCTCCTACCCTGCATCTCAGGTTTTGGGGAGAGAAACCTGTACGTGACCTCCTAGGGCAGCCCCGGGCAGCCGAAGTCAAACAGCCTCGCCAGTGTCCAGGAGCAGTCGTGCCATCAGACGTAGCTCTGGATACTTGCCTCGGGATGCCAACAAGGAGAGGGAGGGAGCCCTCTAGGAACACAGCCCGAGAGAGGGTCGGCTGAGCGCTTGGTGGTGTGCAGACTCCATTGCAGCCGCCTCCCAGCCCCTTTACCAGGCTTGAGTCCAACCAGAACCAGCTGCTCCTGAGACCCTGGGTCCCAAGCCTCCCTGCACCAAGCCCGCCTCCTGGGCTGCAGACTGAGGGTCTCTTTCCATTGCGCAACGCCCCCCGCCCCATCCCAAACTTTTCTCCCCGGAGGATTTGTCTTAGAGGTTGCGTGGCAGGCGAGGCGACTCAGGCACCCAGCAGCACTCCAGGAAAAACTGAGCTGGGCAAAAGCGCAAACCGGTCCTGGCGGCGCGCGCTTGCTGTAGCGCGGACACTCGAGCGCGTGCGAAGATGCGTTCCGGTTTCTGCGTTTCCATTGCTTTCAGGATCAGGGCACTGAGCTGGCACCGAGAAAAGACATATCACAGGCAGAAAGAGACAACAGGCGGGCAGGACACGTCACGCCAAAAAATGAGGGGCGGGAGGGTGGAGGAGATATTTGTGCGGGAGAGGCGCGCGGGCTGTGTGTGGGTCGGGCCGAGTTAGAACTTCCTTCTTCCCTCTCCCCTCCCCTTCGTTCTTCTGGCCGGCCTCCCGTCCCGCTCCCTCCCCCCTTTCTCTCTCTCTCTTTCTTCTCCCCCCAACCCCCCCCAACCTCACACACACACACACACACACACACACACACACACACACACACACACTTGTATTTTGTGCTGTCGTAAAACCCACGTGTCCAGCCAGGAGGCTGCCAGAGCGCGGAGCCAAGGAGCCGGGACGCGGTGGCGACCGAGCACAGCAGCCCACGGCGGCTCGGTTCGGCGCCCAGGTCCGCCCGCGCTCCCGCGCCCTCCGCGGGCCTCCACGTCCCTCGTTCGCAGGCCACGAGGGTTCCGGGCGGCCCGATCGCTGGGGTTCTCCTCCCGCGCTGCCCATAGGCATGTAGCGCACTCGGGGCGCACACTCTCCCGCACGCTCGCCGAAACTCACACACGAACTCACCAGCAGCTCTGAGTTTTCGAGTAAGGTGAGGCCGGTCTGGGGCTGAGGGTCTAGGGCAGGGTGGGTAGGGAGGTTGGAGGTCCTAGGCTGGGGGCGGGGGGGGCGAGACTGTCCCGCCTCCTGGCGCCTGAGGCCAACACGGCTCGGGCTCTGCGCCACTCAGGCTCGGGTCGGCTCCAGACGCTGGCTGAGGGCGGGGGCTACGTCCTGCAGCTTAGTTCTGTGGGGAAGCGCCCTCCGCCTGGGTTCCAGCCTTGCAGGGTGGGAGCTGGGAGCCGCGGGCTGGGAGGCAGAGGCGGGTGCACCTGGCCTGCAAGCGAGGGACGTGGAGGCCCGCGGAGGGCGCGAGAGCAGCCTCGCCGAGGGCGCGGGAGCGCGGGCAGACTTGGGCAGAGCTCCCTCTGCGCGGCGCGGCGGCTTCGGAGTAAACTTTGTGCCCTGGAGGAGTTGGGAAGAGGGAGCGGCCGAACGAGGCTGCGGCTGGCAGAGCCACTGGCTCTGGCGCTCGCTCCAGGGTCCCAGCGGCCCTCCTCCCCGCCCTTCTCGCCCAGGCCCTGGGTCCAGCTCACGCGCACCCTCCTCCCTGCCCTCTGCCCCCAGCTCGAGGCATCAGACATGCTGAAGCCGGGAGACCCTGGCGGCTCGGCCTTCCTCAAAGTGGACCCAGCCTACCTGCAGCACTGGCAGCAACTCTTTCCGCACGGCGGCGGCGGCCCGCTTAAGGGCGGCGGCGCTGCGGGTCCCCTCGGCGCGCCGCAGCCCCTTCAGCCGCCGCCGCCGCCGCCGCCGCCGCCACCACCCGAGCGCGCCGAGCCTCCACCCGACAGCCTGCGCCCGCGGCCCGCCTCTCTCTCCTCCGCCTCGTCCACCCCAGCTTCCTCCTCCACCTCGGCCTCTTCTGCCTCCTGCGCTGCTGCCGCCGCTGCCGCCGCACTGGCAGGTCTCTCGGCTCTGCCAGTGTCGCAGCTGCCGGTGTTCGCGCCTTTAGCCGTCGCCGCCGAGCCGCTGCCCCCCAAGGAACTGTGCCTCGGCGCCTCCTCCGGCCCGGGGCCCGTCAAGTGCGGCGGCGGTGGTGGCGGGGATGGCCGGGGCGCCCCGCGCTTCCGCTGCAGCGCGGAGGAGCTGGACTATTACCTGTACGGCCAGCAGCGCATGGAGATCATCCCGCTCAACCAGCACACCAGCGACCCCAACAACCGTACGTAGCCGCAGCCCGCGCGCTCACTCCCAGGGCGCTGGCGCCGGCGAGCGCGGGCGCCTGTCGGGGAGGCGGGTCGGATGAGGGTGACACCGGGGCGGGGGGGAGCAACTGGTCCAGGCCGCTGGCCTGCGCCTCCCAGACCACTGTGGCGAAAGTTTTCTGGCGTGTTGGAGAAGAAAGGAGAACATAGGGGATGGCCGGGTAGCACTTTGGGATTGCCTCCCTTTTCCTTCCCTCATCTCCTGCTTCACAGCCCCAAGTATTTGGGACTAGAGTTGCCCGTCGACCGGGCAATACAGACTTCGCCCTCCGGCTGGACACTGCCGGGGGGCCGGGTGGGTACTGGCAGCGCGCCACAAGGAGTCGACAGTTTGCCGGCCTTAGCGGGGACAAGGGAGGGACTCTCAGTGTTTGGGAGAGCGTGGAGACCAGTGCTTGCTTCCACTCTCTACTCCATCTCTAAAGTTAACTGCAACCAGGTCATTTTCGGGCCATGGGTTGTGTGGGGCCGGGCCGGGAGCTGCTGGCTGTCGGGGCCTCGCTGGAGTAGTTTTGGATGACACCGAGTCTGTCTCTCCCTTAAAGCAGGCGTTATTCTTAGGTCTACTCTTTATTTAAAAAAGAAGGAAAGAAAAAACTGCCATTACTTCCTGTGAAGAAAATTTCCGACTTAGGTCAGGGTTGTTCGCTACTGATCCCGCATTCTCCGCGCACCCTTGACCAACCTGCAAACGTATGCAATCCGTGTTGGTTTATTTATTTATTTTTAGAAATTCGGGTGACGGTAATTTAATAAAAGAACCTTACTTCCTTCTGCCCCCGAGTAAATAGCAAATGCCTAACTAAACATCAGGACTCCCTTGATTCGTTCCTGTATTCACAATTTCAAACGCTTACCACAAATACAGTTCCATTTTGAGGTTTTAAAGCAAAACTCTGAGTGAAGATCAAGAACGTGTATTGCTTGATATCTGCTTCTTTTTGCTAGTTTCAGAAGTTCTAATATGTTTACACCTAACGTTTGGGGTAAGTGTAAAATATACTGTCAGAGACTTCTGGAAGTACCATCAAAACAAGTTAAGGGAGTCAGATTGAAAGCAATACGGGATTTAAAAGATTAGCGCTCATGTAGCTATTTTCTCCATCTTGTTCCTTCATTTGGCTTCTGTATGAGAAAAGTTGTTCATAAACATTTATTTTTATTCTATTTTGAATCAGTTGCTCCTGGCAGAATGTCTACCACTCTGTGAACTTCTTAATTGATTGTAAAAGCAAAATAACTTCAGTTATAGCCATTTAAACAATTCCCAAAGTCATTGCTTTGATGAAAAAACACTGGGCAACAGCCTAGTGATTGAGATGTTATTAATATTTTCTTAATGTTGGAGATAATTGTGATGGAGATAATTACGAACAAAAAGCAGTTGTATTTACTTTTTTCCTTTCTAGAGTCTGAGGGTAAAGTGCTGGTTTAAAATGGGGGTTTTGATTTTTGCTGTGCAGTTAAGAAGACTATTGTATTTCAGAGTTTCCGAAAATTTCACAAAACTATATTGTCTTAATGGATTTTTTAAAAAATACTTATTTCCTACTGAATTTCTTGAATGTGTTGTTTTCAAAGCAGTTCTTTTTTAAAATGTGAAATAAAAAGATAAAGCCTTTGGAAAAAGCATTTCTTACTGCTCAGTAAAATATAGTTATTGCAGGCTGGGAGTGCTTCATTAACTTGCAGTTTCTCTTCTAAATCAAATCTTGCTGGGAAAGACACCAGCAACACACCCCAAAGCCCTGGCTGTATGCTGAGCTCCCTAAACTGTTTACAATGCAGTATTGAGATTTAATACATTTTAACTAGAGAAAACTTAGACTAATTAGAAAAAGAATTCGGATAGATTCCTAATTAATATACGCCTATTGAACCAGTTTATTGCCTAGGTAACTTCTGCTTCTAGTTGGAGGAAATGAATTATGAATTTATTTAAATTATTCCTATTTGTGTTAATCTCCTGTTATCTCCTTTTGAGTTGACTGGACTGCTTCAGTGTGCAGGGGAAAAGACAGAGGGAAAGGAAGTTAGATTGTCCCGTTGGAGTTACACTCCACTGCTCACTAATTAAAGGACAATTGAGAAAGAAAACGGAGAGCTGAGGTAGCGCTGTGTAATGCTGGGAGACCAGGTCTCCCGTTCTTCCAGGAACTTCTCCCGGCCAGCAAGGCTTAGGCACTCCTTTGAAACCATGGGATGTGTTTTATAGAGATGAAAAGTGATTGAGTTTACTCCAACTAGGGGCTTAGAACAATTGAGAAATGCAAAGGTTGGGAAACTTTTCTCCCTTCATGGGGGAGGTTGGTACAGTGGTTACTTGAAAGAGTGTGAAAAACAGAAGCTTCTCCTCATTTCTCAGTTGTATGTGAGTGGGGGTGAGGTTAGAGACAGGGTGGAGGCAGAAGGGAGACTCCTATTAATCTACCAAGTGTAGATTTCTCTAGTTTTCCTTTTGGTTTTTTTGGCCATCTACCTCCAAAAGAAAGACTGTGAAGTGACCACTCACCATTGCTTCCTTTTTGTCACATTGTGCTTAAAAGGGTATTGAGTCATTTTCTCTTTTTCTTACAAGGCAAAAAGAAAGGCAGGGGGGGGCTTCCTTACCTCTCCCTTCCCTTTGACAAGTTACTTTTTGCCTGGGATCAGCAAGACATGACATCATTGCTCTGTAAGAAAAGAACTCAGTAAAGCTAGTTTCACCTTGAAACTTTATTGGCATCTATGGCAAACACCACAGTGAAGGGGCTTTTTAGCTCTCTTAAACACAAAAGGGTTTTAAAACAGCAGAAACTGTGCAAGCTAGCCCTGGGGAGCGCTTCCAGTATATTTGTTATCTAACTCTGTATCAATTTATTCTGTGACTGAAGTACACTTTCCACTGAAGCTCTGAATGCTTAGCTGCTGCTGCTGCTTTCTTCTCTTAAAAGTCAAGTGATGCGAGGTGTAATATAAATGAGGGATGGGGCCCTTCCTTCCCCTTCTTGTGTTACTGCCCATATTTCCTGCTTGGTTGCCTGAAGCCATTGATTCGGTCAGGCTCCGTGGCAGGGGCTTCTACTTGGGCTCTGGGAGCTGGTGCGTTGTCTGAGACCGTGTCGCTGCTCTTCGAAGGTAGCGAGAGGCAGTTGCTAGGCGCGCCTGGCGTTTGTATGGAGAATTCCCGGGTCTTCTCTTGGCAGAGCCAACCGGTTTTTCATACCCTTTTGTGAAGATGTTCCTCCATAGCACCTGGTAGGGAGGTGGGAGTTGAGCGATTTGGGTGTCTCAGAGGAGAGATGGGCCACCCTGTAACTTTCCTCGCTAGGGGGGGGTGGGTCCCTGTCCCCTTTCGACTTACGGAAGCCCTCCTGTGCAGGTAACAGCGCGGGGAACTGCCCCGGTGTGTGCATGGGTTTAGGAATTGGACCTGAGGCTCCCTTATTGGTAGCGCCAAGCTTTTCGAGGGTTTGGGGAGAGGACTGGGGAGAGAGAAGGAAATCTGGCTCCAACACTGATTTGTCTGGTTGTGGGGTGCGTGCTGTGGGGTTAGGGAAAGAGATAAAGGAGGGCGAGTGTTGCCTGACTTTGCCCTAATCTCTTCCCACCCAGTTGGAAGAAGCCAATCCTGTTTGGGGAGCTTCGAGCCCGGTGGCCCACCAGCTGGCTGTCCGTGCCACTGAGGCACATCCGCTGCGCCCCTGCCCCTACCGCCCAGCGTCCCAGCTGTCAGTGACCAGCCAGCGACTTAGATTTCAGACCTGGTCCGGTGGGAGGGAGCCTCGGCGCCGGTGTGTGGGTTTTTGTATTGTTCTGTTTCTTTTTCTCTTTTCTCTCTTTTTGTGTGCAGACCCCGCCCCATCCGGTAACACACATGATTTAGCTATTTTACATCTTTCGTTATCTAGCGCCCTGAAACTGAACATAGAGCCGTATATTAGATTGAGGTTAGAAGAGGTGGCGACTGTTTATTTAAGGTGATAAAATGGTCCATCAGCAGTAATCTCCATCGATATGTGCCACCAGGAGATGAAGGATGAGGGGACAAGCCACAATTAATTGCCCTATAGTTTTGTAGGAGAGAGTAGAGCCAGCCCGGACCCGCTTCGATCTCCTCTCGCGGCTCCTATTCATCATCTCCGCGTTGTATATGGCGGCCTCGCAGGGGCCGGGGCCGGCGAGGTTTATCTGCGCGCAATATTCTCTCACCCTCGCACACTGGCGCTCCCATTTAATTTATTAATACAGTCATCGGAGACAAATAAAACCCACGTTTTCTCCCTCCCTCCCTTCCCTCCCCCTTTTGGGTCTCCCTCTTGGTCCAGGGCCCCGCCGGCAGCCAGGCCGGGCAGAGAAAGCCCCGCGCTTCTGGGGTTCGCGGACAGCTTTCGACTCGGGTGGAGGGAGAGCCCCAGAAGACTCCCCGTGAGCTGGGCACGACCACAGCCTGCTCCCCTTCCCGGTGGCCGGGCTAACCCGCCTCGCCTTTGGATCTGCTTGTAGACCAGCTCTGGGATCTTGGAAGACCCCTTCCTGGTGGGGAAGGAGGAGGAGGGCCGGGTGGGTGGCGGGGCGCAGAAGGGGCTTTGGAGTGTGGCGTAGGCGGCCACGCCTGGTGCTGGAAGAGAACCCTTCGTGGGCAGAAGCGGGATGAGGCCTTCAAAACGCAGCCTTAGGTGCGGAGGCCGCCTGCCGGCCGAGGCCAGGGCGCCCCACACCGCGCATCACCACCTCTGCCCCCACTCCATCTAGGCGGGCGGGAGCCCCTGGGGGCGCGAGCCCTGGTGCGGAGGTTCCGGGCTGGGTGCTCTGCCCGTCCTCTGCCCGTCAGCCCAGCCCCCCGCCCAGGGCGCGCGCCGCGCAGCCAGCAGGCGGCACTCTGGTGGCCGCGTCGCTGGGCTGGGATCGATGGGCGCCGACCCCGCAGGGCTTGGCCTGCGGGACTGAGGGCGACGACCTCCGCAGCAGTCGAGGAGGATTTACAGCCTGAGTGGGTCTTGCTGCCGGGCGAGGAAGTAGGCTTTTCAGCTACTCCTTGGTTCCCTCAACAGAGGCGCGTGAGGGCCGGCGAAGGCGCTGGAGAAGCACCAGGGAGTGAAGACCTGGCGTGGCGGGCACTCCGCACGCGCCCACACGCCCTGTCGGCCTCTCCAGACACCAAAGCCCCGAAGCCTTTCATATTTCGCCTTTCCTGGAATGACATTCCAGAAAAGAAAACCTTGGCCTGCTTTGCCCCCTTTACCTTAAAATAGATGCTTTTAAAATTATAAAAGTAATCATTACTTGTAAAGACGTTCAAACAATACAGAAGGATATGAAATCAAGAGTGAGAGTCTGCTTTTCACTTCACTTGGCCAGGCCTTCTGAAGTCAGTAGGTGAACAAGTCTGGAACCTGATGACAGGCCCTTCCCTCACTCAGGGACCCATAGACAGGAGCACTAACAAATCTATTCAAGACAGAAAAGGAACCATAATCTCTTATATTCTCTAATGCTAAACTGGTATTTCAAAGTATCTTTCTTAGAAAATATGAGATTATCTCTCACAAATATAGAAAACACTTTATGAATAACAGTTATGAACATGTACAAAAACTCTTTCCTTGATTTTAAAAGAAAGGAACATTTATTTGTTTCCTCTTTACAAATACAAATAGACTCGTATTGTGTGTTGCTTGGCCTGGAGTGCTGTGTGTATGTGTGCATGTATAAGATACGACGATGTACATTGTCTATTACATATATTTGTAGGTAGTTTGGGCATGTAGCCAGCTTCTCCCCCAAACCTTTTCACGTAGGTGTTCATGTCTAGAAAATACTTTGCTTAGAATGTTTGTCTACTTGTGCCGTATTTGTCAACCCCAAGAAATGTTACTTGCTTTTAATATCCTCAAGCTCCCCTGGGTCTCTGAGGCACAGGTTAGCACCCAAATGTTTTCAGTTGGGGAGATTTTGTGTATTAAAAAAAAATAGACTGGAATGTGTATTTTGATGGCAGTTGGTCAACTTTTCTGTCAGAATATTTTGATATAACATGAAGTGGTTCACAAATTAAGAAGATTCATGTTGGGCAGATTAATTAAAATGGATTGGCCTTGTCTACTCTGCTGTGGACCCAACATACAGACAGTCTTGTAGGTACTGGGGGAGCCTCAGTTCCTCACTCTGCCAGACGCATTAAGTTTTTTCAACACTTTGTGGAAACCAATGAAACAATAAGTTAAAGAGGGCTTTAGAGGACATCTTGGAGAAAGAACTTGGCCATAGTTTTATTATCAGGTATGACAAATATCAGCTGTGTGCTTCTTGTCTGTGGGGTAGTGGCTGGAGTTGCTACTTTTGCTCTTTATTTTATTGCCCATGTGGTCGATGTGATATTACTTGTGGTGATGTTGGAAGTTAACAGGATCTCTGATACAGGCTGTTGGGGGAATGAATACTAAACACTCTTGCTTCTCACCCTTTGCTTCATTGAGTCAACCAGAAAGGAAAAATCGGTTAAGCAACTTCCTGAAGTGGTTTATTTTTATTTTCATGGGCATATTGCCTTTGCTTATTGTCATTTGTTTTCAGCTATTTTTGCTAAGGTGCTGAAAGGCCATCTCTGAAGTCAGACACTAACATTCAAAATTATGGACATTATCTATTCACTTTACTTTTCATTCTCTTACTTTAATGTCCCCAAACCCAAGAGTGTGGGAAAGAGAGAAACCTCTGTAACTCAATCATGTTACAGCAATTTTTGTGGCCCCAAAATAGTTACTTCAGTGAAATATTTCAATTCTGTTGATTGAGTCATGAGTTTGGATATGAAAGTCTCCCAGATTTCATTAGTCTTCCCGAATCTCTGGGTTAGGAGGCTTTGGAATCAGGCAGACCTGACTGAATCCTTTCTCTGCCAGCCACCGTCTTGCTTCTGGTCCTTGTTCAAGTGACAGTGCTGTGAATCCTCAATTGCCTCATCTGCAAAGCGAGAATCACGATAGATAATGTGGAGGTTTGGTTCAAGACAGGTGCCTGGAACATAGTGAGGCATTTGGTAAATATGAGTGCTTATTGACTTTCTTCCCATTCCCAAAATGTCTTGAAGTGTTTTAATTTTCACAATCAAAAGCTCTAGAGGGTGTGTACAGTGTGTGTGCTTCAGAGGGGTTGACATATGGATAAGCATGAGACTACTCCCATCTAGGCCCTGGGATAGAAAATGGAGCGTTGAATAATTTGGACATTTGTGTTGCTGGCAGAGGGGGGCAGAGGAGGACCTTTGTGTGAGAGAGGCTCCGGAAGCATGAACATTTCACTAGCTGTGAAAGCAGGTTGTTGCTTTTCACCTAAGAGGCCTGGGGACACCTCTAGGAAGGGGTAGTCAGAAGGTCCCCTCATTCCTTGGGCTCTCTTGGGAGGAGTGGAGGAGTAACTGCTGACTGAGGGGAAGGCACAGCTGGCTGGATCGGGATTCCACTGTGGTAGGATGCTCAGATCGTCAGCCTTCCCTTGCTGTGAGGCAAATGGCAAAACAAGGGTTCCCCCATCATGCTGGGTTCTGTGTTCCTCGAAGGTTTTCCTTGGGCGTTTAGGCTGTTTCAGCACAGATAGTGCGCATCCAGGGTGACCCTCCAGGCCTAGTTGCTACCAAGCCAGGCGCAGGTGCCCAGAGGCCCCTAAGGCGACCGATCTCTCAGCGCCAGCCCATCCGCTGGTGCCTGCTTTCACCGTCTCCGCCAGGCAGACTCGCCAGGTGTCAGGCCCAGTGCCACAGACCTGACACTTGCACGGAGCTGCGGCGACTCCCCAGGGAAGCTGGGCCGGGGAGGCTGGGTCGCGCCGGCGGGCGCCGAGGCCACCTCCTCAGGCAGGCTCGCCGCGCCAGGGCGCAGACACGGCGGCTCCGCCGGGCCCATTAATAACCCGGAGGGCGCTGCGATCCGACAGCACGGTCGCCACAGGCCCTGCTTCCCGCTGCCGTCCGGCCCCTTCCCACCCAGTTCCAGTCGAGGGACACTGGGCGCCCACTGCTTCCCGGCCCGAAGGGTGGGGGTCCCGTCCGCGCCCGCTGCTCTGGGGAGTGTCGGAGAGAGACAGCTTCATCCACAGCTTCGCTCAGTTTACAGCACAAGATAATCGCCTTAAAGTCTCGGGATCAACCGTGGGGCGGTAGTTGGGGCCCTCTCCATTGAACCATTACCCTGATCATTAAAGACCCATTACCCTGATCGTTAAATTTGCTATGCGTTTCTTTCCCGTGTCTGGGGGAAGCTTGCACACAAACCCTCCGGAACAGCCCTGGGGTCTCCACGTGTCCCCGCCTGGCTGGAGTGCCTAGAGTGGGCGCTGACAGGCCGCCAGAAGGACCCCAGCATGGGGGCGCCCTCGGCTTCCTGGGGCTGCGACTCGGGCCCCACGGGACCTCAGGCTTGCTCTGCCCCGTCTCTCGGCGCTTGGGAGGCGGTGGAGGAAGCCTTCGAGTCCCCGGGTCGAGGGGAGTGCGAGTGGCGCGCCACGCCAGACTGGTAGCCCACGTGCCCTGGTGATTGTAAAAACGTCTCCTGTGTAATTGTAAAACGAGGAAAATCAAATGCCTAGGCGACCAGTGTAGAATTTCTCCGAGATACCAGATTGGGGAAAAGATGGGCTGTTTTCGTGGTACAAGGAAATATGCACCCTGCGGCACTGGATAGAGGGAAGCTGCCAGAATGAGCAGAGGGTCAGAAGGAACAGGGAGACGGAAGGGAAGGGGGAGACACACAGAGGGAGAGGTGCAGCGAGAGGGAAACCGGGAGGAGAAGCCGCAAGAGCCGTCGGCAGCGGGGACAGGGCAACGAGGCAATCCGCACACAGCTCCGAAGGCGTTCTAGGGAGCCCAGGGTCTGCACCCGGTACCAGGCAGATTTGGGTGCAGCGAATTCCAAGGGAGCGGTGCGGGTTGGCCTCTCTCCTCTTCGGGGTAGCCTCGGCCCCCCAACGGCGTCATCTGCTTCCATGGTGGCTTATCCTGGCAGGGACAGTTACTGTTGTCTGGGGGATTTACCCTAGGATGGGCCGTTCTGAGCGGCCAGGTTAACCCTTTCCCTTCCCTCCTTCTGCGTGTCTCCTGCAGGTTGCGACATGTGCGCAGACAACCGCAACGGCGAGTGCCCCATGCACGGGCCCCTGCACTCGCTGCGCCGGCTCGTGGGTACCAGCAGCGCCGCAGCCGCTGCGCCCCCGCCGGAGCTGCCGGAGTGGCTGCGGGACCTGCCGCGGGAGGTGTGCCTGTGCACCAGCACGGTGCCTGGCCTGGCTTATGGCATCTGCGCGGCGCAGAGGATACAGCAGGGCACCTGGATTGGGCCCTTCCAGGGCGTGCTCCTGCCCCCAGAGAAGGTGCAGGCGGGGGCCGTGAGGAACACGCAGCATCTCTGGGAGGTAAGTGGCCCGTGCCCAGTACCTCAATGCCGAACCTTGGCCGGCACAGAGCCTGGCCCTTGGCGGGTGGCAACTTCAGAGAGAGCCTCCCTTGGTCTCCAGAGAGTAGCAGAGAATAGATTCCCCTGGCATCCCTGTAAGTGCCTGGTGTCTGAGGCACCTGCAGTAAGGAGGCTGGCAGAGATGGAGTCTGGCACAATAGCAACGTGGCCAAGACGACAGGGCCTACAGGTTTCTGAAGACAGAGTCACCTTAACCTGCCTGTGTTCCAGCTGGAATGGATTTGACTTTGGGTCTTTCTAAATCTTAAGAAAGAGAAAACAGCTGAGGAGATGGAGCAGAGGAGGTTAGGCATTAGGGTGAGAGCTGGGTGACCTCTATGTCCCATTCTAAGCTCTTCCAATGTGTTTCAGTGAACTGGGCAGGTAGGTACAGAAGCATAGGGGGGAGGAAGGAGAGTCAGGCTTATTTTCACAGATTAAAAACAATTTTATAAATGCTGATGTGAGAGACTGCAACGTCTTTCACAACTTGCAAAGTGCCCACAGTAAGCAAATTTTATTGGGAGTCAGAAATTACAAATTTTGCTTCTTCTCTGACAATGTGAAATTACGTAGTCTTCATCAAGATAGAAAATCAAAACATGAGAAACCTCAGCACTTTGGTATAACCCAATTGATGATAATACTTTATGGCACAATCTTACCTGATACTATTATTTAAAAATAACCTATTTGAAAAAATGTCAACTTGAGATTTCTCCAGAAGCTTTCTGGTTGATTATCGAGGTTCACTCCTGAAAGGACAGACATTTATCATTAGGTAATCCTCCCACCTGTTTTAGTCACCTCCACCTATGGAGAGTTATATATAAAATACAAGATACTGGAAGTCATACCCTTAGGCAATATGTAAATCTGACTACCTGTGGCAGGTGATTAAGTGTGAACAGCCAGAAAGAAAGTCTCTTAAATGCCAGGGGCCAAGTTGACATGGACCCCTGGGCTCCATAAATGGGTTGTTTCAGCAACAGTCTGCCCCTCACACTTTGATGACTGGCCTGTGAAAATGATCATTTTCACTGTTAGTTGCCTCATATTCACTAAATAAAACTCATGGGACTCAATAAACCACTGAAATTTTTTGCCAAGCACCCGCTCTGGCCCTGGACATACAGGGTTGTGAAAAACAAACCTGGTATCCAGAACCCTCACATGACTGTTGCAGATGGGGTGCTGAGGCCTGGGGCTGCAAAGCCTCCTTTGATGGAGGAGGAGCTGAATGTATGAGCCCACAGCCCAGCAGCCCAATATGAGAATATGGCAGCCAGTGCGCTATCTACTCTATAGTAACCTGCTGGAGTGCTGTGCACAGGCTCAAAGCATCTGGTTTTGAAACATTTCCTAGTTGGTTTTTGTTTCTGACTAATTAGTTGTAACCTCCAATGTGGTTTAAAGTTTATAAAACACTTATAGACACTTTTCATGTTCCAGTGTGTTATTAGGAACTCTGATATCATATGATTTAAGGTCTGCCAATACTTTTCTAAGGAAATCGTACAGCAGTTATTCATCGTACAGATTTGCTCTATCTGAAAATGTTAAAACCGAACACTGTTATATTGCCCTCTGATGCCTGTCTACTTTTAGAGTGCCAGAGGAAAAAGCCATAAACACAAAAAAATTCCCATCGTGTATTGTATGTGTGTGTGTTTTCCTGGAAGGCTTTTATGATTGGGATGTTGGCAGGAGGCCACTACATATATAGAATATAATATATAAACACTAAAAATGATGCAACCTTTCTTTTGTACCTTTACTTGTACTTGATGAAGTTAAAATTCTGTTGTTGTAAAGAGACTGGGGGATTTAATTGGTGTTTTTGTTTTTTTTGCTACTTCAGTAGATATAAAGTGAATTTTATCTGTTGTTTGGGGCATGTGAGTTGAGAGTGCGTGTAGGGTACCTGGAGTTGGTTCTGTGTTATAAAAAGGACCTGCCGGGTGTATGCTTCGATGATCTACAGGTCCCTACTCCTAAACTTAGGACATAATTATTCTATTTATTTCTATCATCTGTAACAGGAGTTATAATAACACACATTTGGGGAATTGAAGGGATTAACTGCAGCCATGCAAAATGTATCAGTCTTCTGGGAGATCATATAAAATGTGACTAACTGGGGCCAGGTAACTTAGTGCTGATGTCCACTTCTAAGATAAAATACTTTTCAAAATAGGTTTTAAATTTTTATTAGTATGATGTTTTTAAGATATGAAATATAAATTTATTTTTAATTTTTAAGCTTTATTATTTTTATGAAATATGACTATTTGAATTAAGTTACATTTATAACAGGAGATTCTAAATGTTAGAAGTTTCCTTAAATTTTAGTTCTTTCTTTCAAACCTAAATTGTATTGTGAGATTTTTTTAATCATTATATTATTCATATTAGAAAGAATCAGTGATTGGAATACACTGTAGGTCTATAGGAAATGTTTGGCAATAATTGTTTAATGACTCATGTAATAATTATCCATTTCAAAAACATATTCTTTTTAAATGTCTTGCAAAATATAAGGTCAATATAAAGCAAATTTTTAAAAAATTAAAAGCAGTTGAATCCTGACTATTTCATTTTAAAAGTCAACTATAATCATTTCTCTTTCTCACATTTTTTTAAGTCATTTGCTGTTGAAGAAATATCTTTATATTTAGAGTTCAATATTCAGGTCCTGATGGATCTTACCGGGTTACTTATCTTTATTTCAGTACAATAAATGGATTGCTAATCTTTTCCCGTCACTGTTTCCAAGTAGATGATGGATTTTTGTTTCAGTTTACAGTTCATTGTTTTTAGTATGGCTATACTTTATTATACACATGAAGGCTTATCACAGAAACAATCAGATTCACCTTAGTTATTCCTTTTCTTTAATCATTAAACGCTCTATCTTCTTTGTAGAAAAATGATTTTTTAATATTTACTATACATCAGCCTTGAAGAGCTTGTTTGCTTTATAAGTATACTATCATTTTTTAGTTAATATTCTCTATGTGTATAATCTCGGTTCTTCAAAATCCAGCAATTTAAAGAAAGTTAAATATTCCATTCAATATGTTTTGACTATTTTGAGTGTTTATGAGAAATTCCAAGTATTTTTCTTTTCTTTTCTTTTTTAAGCAATAAGCCAAGGTGATTTTTTTGTAGTTTGAGGAGATTTAGCAAGCTGAAAGCCAAATTGTTAGTCATAATTTTTGCCAGTTTCTTTTAGAATCAGAATTTTAATGTGTTTTTTTAAAAAAATAATAAATTCAGATACTTTCAAACAAAACATTACATATAGGGTACATTAGACAATCACTCGCCTTGGCTATATACATTTATGCAAACAAGACTTGGATGCATGATACATTTCTAGCTATTTAACGTAATGGAAAAAAATCTTTCTGAATGTTTTGCAAAGAAAACAGAATCTGTCTCAGCAATTAGGTCTTATTGATGAGAGTGAGATAATTTTATCCTAATATGTTTTCTAATAAAGAAGTGAAAAGGCACATTTGATTCCAACATTTATGAAAAACATTATCTCAATTATTAATGTGCCCTTTTTCCCTTGAGATAAATTAATCTAGTTGCACATGGTTTCCCCTTTCTGCTTAACATCAGAATTTAATATGACTGGACCTGAGGAATGTAACCAGTGTGTACTTAAAACTCTACTGGAATAAAATACGGAAGTTTAAAATAAAGCTACAGTTTAAGATAGGCTAATATTACTCAGGCCTTACAACTCAAAGTCTGATTTGACAAGAAATTTTAGCAACAATGACAAAATAAATTGTACTTATTTTCACCCTAGAAAAATTATCCTGCTAATTGAAATAATGTAGTGACTTGTTAGGATTACAGTCAAGGTACTAGAAAGAGATTTAATTTTACAGAACCTGTCTTCTCTTTGCCTGAGTAAATTTGAGTGTCTCATTTTCATTTTCCCTATGTGGAAACTGTCATTATTTTTCTTTAGAAAATCAAGGGGGATACATAATGTGGACCTTTTTGTGGTTTGATTTTGTGCCATAATATTTTAGATTTAATAAGAGTTTTGCTTTTAAGCAAATGGTCTATTTTTCATCATTACTATTTAGCTTAGGTCAAAAGATATTAATGAAAACCAATATTAAAAATATATTACACATTGCTAAATGCTTATATTTCAAAACCATCATAGATAATTGGTACTAGAAGAAAATGAATTGATTTCGTATTTTAAATGTTGTATGTATGTTTCTATAAATGACCCAATTCCATATATATAGTACTGTACCTATTTGCATGTATTTGGATGTTGAAAAAATCATTTTAAATTAATCATTTTCAATGACGTTAAAATCATTTAAAAGTTGTTCCAGTGATAGTCCTGTAATTATATACTCCATATTTTGACTTTGACTCATTTTGGCCTGATTCACCAAAACACCAGGGGATGGAATTACGTGGCTGTCACAGTTACATTGAAGTAAAAATTGTGTTTCTCGGCAATTTATCATTTAATATACGAGTCTGCCTGTCAGCTTGGTTTTGAATATGTCAATTTTGTGAAATTCAAATTATTTCTCCTTAAAAACAAACCATAGTGATGTTACTATCATGTTTTAAATTATGCAGAGTAACAGCTGGTGTATCTCTCTGGCTTTGCCTCATTTGATTTGAAGATGTCTTTTATCGTGGTGCCCATGTGATAGAGTGTGGGCATTTTGTAGTTTTACATAAACTGTAAAACCATCTGCCACCTCTTGGAATGGTTTCCAGCATTGTGTTAAAAATCAAAACTTGGTATTTTGAGTTGGCTTCGAAGGTCCGTTTAAAGTCCTGGTCCTTTTGCTTTATGTGTCACACTACACAGTGCCACCCTTGGTTTTCTAAGTCTAAAAATGATTCTGCTTTAAAAAAATTATAACAGCCATTTGGAAATTCTCACATCAGTGAGGTTTAATC